AAAGATAACTATGTTTATACCAAGTAACACAATCCAAAAGACCTTCTACAGGACAAATTGCACAAGAGCAACCCCAGTACTGCACCTACTCCGCACGGTTCACATCAGCAACATGGGGGAAAACTCCTTTTTATTTTCTCCTAGAGCATACTTTCTTAAAGTTATGTTAACACGCACCCATTTCAAGACTTCAAATTAATTATTCTGTATAGCATACAGTCACGGATAACCAACTCTTCTTTTGTCCATCATTAATTACAACCACAACATGGTGCCCAAGGATAGCAGAGGAAACAAATAGTAAGAAGACTTTCAGGATACCTTGAAGAATTTTATGAAGAGAAGATCAATAGCATAGATACTATCCTGGAAAAGACTATCACAGGTCATTATTTTTTCCCAAAAAGAGGAAAGGCAAAAAAACTGTTTTCTTCAAGTATATCTTTCAAAAGCTAACTTCAATTACTTTCTCTTTACGGTTTATATAAATCAGCAAGATTATCTCCGGGAGTAGAAGACTTTGCCCACTATGTGTGAACATGTGGACTTCTCTCTTTTGTATTTTTCTAAGCTTAACAAGCAACACTTCTTGGATACTGGAACATTTCATCAGCATCAATAGAAAACAGTTGTTTTTACAGAGTAAATAATCCCAAATAGACCTGTTATAAATATTCTTAGAAACCTAAACGTCAAAGGACAATTGCACTAGAGACACCCAAGTATTGCACGCACTCTGCACGATTCTAACCAGAAATATGGGGGGAAACTCCTAGCTTACATCAAATTACTTACAAAATAGAATTAAACAATACAACAAATGTAATACACAAGTAAGGGTAAGAAAGCAAATGATCAAATATCTGAAATGATACGAGAAGTAGTAAAAGGTGATGGAGTACTGCTATCTGAAGCTTATAAATAGAATCACTTGTCTGCATCACCAATGATATCTTCCTCCATTTCTTTCTTACCCTGTTTCTTTTAAAGTTCTTTTACACAGATAGACAGAGGGGCCGGAGGAATAAAAGAAGAGGAGAAATCTATTTTAAAATGCCATAACCTTTAGAGATGTATCACAATAAAATGATAATTAATGAACTATTCCTTCTTGATTAATTCGTTAATGTACTTCTCTTGCATCAAGTTTAACATCAAAGACAAATGTGTTTCTACCAAGTAAAATGATTCCAAATAGACCTGCCAAAAATATTCTTAGAAACCTCACCATCATGATTTTTAAAGGACAAATTGCGTCAAAGCAACCTAATTATTGCACGTAGTCTGCACGATTCTCATAGGCAACAAGGACAAAAAAAACTACTAGCTTTTTTCTCCTAGAGAACACTTTCAACATCCAATATGTGAGAATACCATGGACATTTTCAATTACTATTCTGTTAAAGTTGTGTTCACACGCACCGGTTACAAGACTTAAAATTAATTACTCCCTACAGCATAGGGTGACGAGAAACCAACTTGTCTTGCCCATCATTAATTTGAACCACAATATAGTGCCCATGGATACAAGAGGAAACAAACAAGACAACGGACACCGATCAAGATTGCAATTAACTTGATAATTTGTCTATAAGCAGCACAAAAATCCAAAACTATCCAATTACCGTAATCTACTGATGAAGACAGAAACAAGACTATCAGGACGCCTTGAAGAATTAATGAAGAGAAGATCAATTGCGTGGATACTAACCTGAAGAAGACTCTCTCAGGTTTATTTCCCAAAAAGAGGAATGGAAAAACCTATCCTGCTTCAAGTACATCTTTTAAAAGATTAACTTTGCCGGTTCTCCCTTTACATAAATTAGCAATTAATACTTTGTTAACATTTCCATGTAATTGGTTGTATAGATTACAAATTAATAATGCCAGATCAGCACATGCAAGATTATCTGTAGGAGTAGAAGACTTTGCACACAACGTGTGAATGTGTGGACTTCTCTTTTGTACTCTTTCCTAAGCTTAATATGAGACAATTCTTGGATACAAGAACATGTGGTCAGCATCTTCCCCTTCGCGCTTCGCCCACCCTATCCATTCGTGCGCTGGCAGGGGCTTATATATGTGATTCGCTACGCTTGCCTATGCCTATCAGCTGATTCTACTGCCTGCCGGTTAACGAAAATTATCCGGTAGTCAAAAGATAATTGTGTTTCTATCAAGCCCTTATAAAATAAAATTCAAAAGTTGTGTTTCTACCAGGTAAAATAATCCCAAATAGACCTGTTAAAAATATGCTTACAAGAACCTCGCCATCACGATTGTCAAAGGATAAATTGCACCAAAGCAGCCCACGTAACGCACGCACTTTGCACGATTCTTACGTGCAACATGTGGAAAAAATCCAAAAAAAAAATTGTCTACTAGGGCGCACTTTCAACAACATACGGGACTCTCGTGCGCATTTTCATTTACTATTTTGTTAAAGTTGCGTTCACACGCACCGATTTCAAGACTAACATTAATCGCTCCCTATAGCACAAGGTAACGAGGAACCAACTCGCCTTGTCCATCATTAACTAGAACCACAATGTAGTGCCCAAGGATAAAAGAGGAAGCAAAAATCTAGAAATTCATATCAAAGCAACACGAAAATCCCCGACTCTCCAATTATCATAATCTGCTAACAATCACTAGCAACCAATCTTGTAATAGCATATGAAATTGATTTTAATGTACTCACTCTCACCATGAACTTCCTAAATTGGATTTTAATAACTAGTATAGGTCTTTCTTCTAATAAAGTCTCAGTCTTTACTCATGCAATTCATAGTTTAAACCATTACCCAAAACAACTCACTTTATAACCAACAAAGTTCCAATGTTTTTCAACTTTAAGAGTAAATGAAGCACAAATCACTTTAAATCCAACAAAGTTCCAATCTTTTTCACTTGTTAGAGTAAATGAAGAAATCATAAACACAAAAATCCAGAAAAAACGATCCCAAATAAAGAGGATCACTAATAAACTCAAGAACTTAATCAAATCTGCAATTAACATTAAAAAGAAAAATGTACTCCATAAACACAATTACCCATAGAATCCAAAACCAAGCAAAAGAACAAAATAGACTTATTTTATCCTTGGATTTTTAAAGTCAAATAAGAATAAATCAACAAGAATTTACCTCAACCCCTCATGTTGTAAACACTTGTTCTCAACACCCTTTTTCATGGATTGAACAACACTTGCAGCAGCAGCAATTCAAGAATCATATGGAGAATTGAGTGACCCCCAAAAAAGAAGAAGCAGAGGAACAAAAGAAGACAAAGTAATAAATAGTAGTATAATAATAATAACTACTCTCTCCCATTTTACATGATGTATAGTAATAATAATTTAAGAAAGAATTTGAAGAAAAGAACAAAGTGGGTAGTCTGCTAACACCATTGAAGAAGCTCAGATCCTCATAAAACTGAAAAAAGATTGGAGATTTCGATCTGCTGGGGCCACAACTTCTCAGAAACAAAGAAAAAGAAAACTCTTTTTTTTTTTTAGAGAGAGAAGGGAAAATCAAGAAGAAGAGAGAGAAAGACACAAGTTCTATTGAGACTTCAAAGGTTGTGTTGTAGTACTATATTTTTTTTTTGTAAAATAGGAAGAAAGAAAGAGAGATCCCAGATAAGAAAATCTTCACACAAACAAACGAGGCTTCTGTAACAACAGGGGACATGAAATTTGTCAACATTCGGTCTCTTTCTATTCCTCGTCTCAATTTATGTGATAATTCTATCACATATTGAAAATATTAAGATATAAATCAACACTCAATATAATCTTGACTTATAAATATGTACGTCTAAACAATTTGTTAAAAACATTCAAACTTATAAAATAACTATCAAAAATCTAGATATGTATAATATGTATAAATTACGTCGATATCAAACTTTTATAAAATACAAGATAAAGATAAATTAAAATACTTAAATTATTAGTTACTGATTTAAATTAAATTGAGGGTATAGATATGAAAGTAAAAAAAGTTAATTTGAACTAAAAAGTAAGTAATTAACTAAATTATCCTTTTTTTGTTATGTATCTCAATTGATTACTCTTCTTTATTTATCATATTAATTTGTTTCCATAATTATTGTCATTATGAATAAATAAAATATGTGTGTTTTTTAGGAAATAAAAAAAAGAAATGGACATTTTCTAGATTCTCTCCACCTTCCTTGCTTTTAGTACAGATATTGAAGTAATAATAAAAATAAAAGAAAACTGATAACTCCCTTCTCTTCTCTCTTTCCTTGTCACATTATACTATAGATATAATATAAAAATATGTCTTTTAATTGCCAAAAAAAACTATTTAAAAGAAATAATTTGAATCTTTAAGAAAAAAAAGTGACTAATAGCTTTAATAAAATATTTTTTTTAAAAAAAATGCACACGTGTTTTTTTAAGTTTTCTTTTGAATTTTGAGTGCCTTTATTTTTGTTCAATGGGAATTTCTTTTATTCCTTATATATTTGTAATAGAATATTTCCTTTATAAACTTTACTTGTACTAGTTAAATGATTGTTGTATGGTCTTTATTATGTCTTTCTCCTATAGTTCTTTTATTTAGTCTAATAAAATATTCATAAGCATAAGTATATACATATAAATCAAAAGGTCGATCCAGTATATACAATGTAACTTTCAAGACGAGGTTACATCATAGAGATTAGATCTTGTATATACAATGTAACTTTTCTATGAAGACGAGATTACATCATAAAGATTAGATCCAGTATATACAATGTAACTATCCTACAAAGACGAGGTTACATCATAGAGATTAGATCTTGTCTATACAATATAACTTTCCTACGAAGACGAGAATATATCATAGAGATTAGATCCTGTATATACAATGTAACTCTCCTACGAAGACGAGGTTAGAGATTAGATCATATATATACCATGTAACTTTCCTACAAAGACGAGGTTACGTCATAGACATTAGAGTAACACAAACTCATGAGGGATATAATAGATGCCTAAGGATTTTCCATCATTTCATTCTCAGAAACAATTCCTGCAAAACACAAAAAACATGTACAATGACAATCTCCATGTAGCTAAAAAATTCACTCCTGAAATTCATAAAATGAACGCGAATCGGTTAATGTCATCTCTATAAATGATGAATGGATGAAATTACAGAGTTATTTGCCCTGTGTTTTCAAGTTAACAGGACAGGAGGAGGATTGCCTGCAGGGCATCTTTGTCTCCGAGGGCGTCTAGGTGTCTTTCCCCACCCTGTTAAGCTTTTGTTATCTTCCAAACTGGCTTCAATGTTGTTAAGTTGGTAAATTAGTGGAGAGGTTGTTGTAGTTGTGGCCAATACCGGGGTACTGGTGTCCACGACTTTTTTCCTTCTTCCCCTTGCACCTCCATTTCTTGTCCCGTTCCTTCTTGTCAAACTGGAGTTCCAAGTATGGCCTGTTGCTCTCATCAACCCTCCGAATATCTGAATGTCTTCAGTCACCTCATGCCTTGACAATGAAGCTAGACCGGGAAGGACATCCCTTTGGAAGTCCCTCCGTTGTCTTCCCCTCCTTGGATTCCCTCTTCGTGGTCGATTTGGTAGTGAACTGGCTGCTCCTGCATCTTCCATTGTTTGGATTTCAGGAACAAATGGCTTGGGCATGTAATCTTCCTCCTTGGTCTCTGCTAGTTGCAATGTCATAGCTTCAAAGTAATCTATTTCCTTATGTGCAACCATCATGTTGTTGTTCTTGCCTGTAATTTCTTTAGCAGATGGAGTACTATCAAGCTCCGCTGCACAAGAAGAGACCACGTCAACAAACCATCGAAGAGATTCCAGAGGATCATCAGACGGATCACTTTGCAATTCCTCTATTGCAGTGCAATGAGTGAATGATGAGATGGCAACTATCGCTTCTGCTGCAGTCTTGAGTAGTTCCTCCTGTGTGTGCTGCAAAGATGCCTCGTGTTTCTTCCCATTGTCTTCTCCAGGCAAATCATCTTGTTCAATGTCCAAAAGTACAGGGGCTTCGAGATCTATATCCAGAATAGTTTTCGCACTGGCCTTGCCGGTTACAGCAGAAACTGGTTCTTCTTCATCCTCGGTAATACATGAGTTCAAATCAAAGTGATTCCTGATGTTCATAGCTTTTGTCTCCGTCACTTTCTTAGTAGAAATTTGTTCTATAACAACAGGTTCCTCGGGCTCAAGCATAGAAAGGTCACAAGCCACGTTAATGTCGATCACCATAGTCCTCCTCTCTTGTTTGATAGTCTTTCTCTCAGGAGAAGAACGAAGATTAGCAGAAGGAAAAACAAGTGATGACGACGACCCGTTTCTGGAACTAACGGGAATATCGAGGATCGGAACACCAAGTATTTTTCTTACATGTCCCGTTTCGCCCACTTCTTTTGTGGTCCTCATACGGTGATGTTCAAAAGCTGATGAATCACTCTGACAAAAAGGAGGGTTTGAGTAAGCCTGGACAAAGCCAGAATTTGCTGAAGTTCCACCTAACCTAGCATTGATGCCCTCATTGTTACCATTTGCTTTACCTTTAAGCCATGGCAACACTGTCACAGGGTCTTGATGCTCTCTTTTTTCATTACCATACTCAACATCTCGCCTGGGAGGTTCCTCGCTGAGTGCACTTGTTGCTAGAACATTTAAGTTGAAGCCCTTCGCAGATTTCACATCCATATTGTTAGAGCTAATAAGAAAATTCTCACATGCATTATTAGAGGAACGTTCAGATGTAAAACGGTCCCCCTTAATGTAGCTCAAAGAGTCAAAAGCACCTGATGGGATGTGAATTGGTGATTCTTTTGTCCCAGATGAGGACCCACGGTAGAAACCACTCCGGATGGGTATCTCACCGGCACATCCAGGACGCAACCTAGAACTGCCACCATTAGCATGCCAATAGTCCCCAATTTGGCTCTGAGATGACTGTGAACCCTTACCAACTGCTGCAGATGAGTTGAAAACTGAGTTTGTATGCAACGAGGATAACCTCTGAGCAAAGCTACCATTTGGCTTCTCCCAAGAAGAGACAGAGTGCGGCCACGAACTGCTAAATTCGGAGGAACTTGCATATGGATATGGACTAGCCATCTTGGAAGTAACAAATGGTCCCACTTGAGTATAATTAGACTGCTCACCATTTCTGTGAGACATATCTAAACTATGTCCTGTTCTATCTTTCCAAATACCATCCTTAATATGGTGAACTACATGAGGGCTCGGAGCTTGATAGGCTTTGTTAATCATTACTGGTGCTTGACGGGAAGCTGCAGCTATCTTGTCGTCTTCAAGACCTCTAGGTAATGAAGCTGAGCTACCTTTGATGTTACCTGCAGATTGAAGCAACTGAAAGATTGGTACAAAAAATTCCGGAAGCTTTCAAACATGAGTAATATAGAGAAATTTCGGAAGGAACTGTCACCTGTTTCATGTACCGAAGTCAACCAATCCCTCTCTTTGCCTCTACTGCGATCGTATAGGTTACTTAAAGACTCATTTGGGCTTACACAACTGGAATTCCAAGGCAAAGCCACAAATGGTGAATTTGATTTTGCAGAAGGATTTATGCTTCTAGTCTCTTTATGATTATTACCATAACCAAGAAATTCAACAGGATCGGTTGCATCATCAAGCTGCGCTGGTTCATTTAGGTCAGCCAACCCAATTGAGCTTCTCAAACACGAATTGGATGTTGAAGCATCTTTTCGGCTATCACCCTTTGCACCACCACCAAGAAACAATTTTGTTCCACTCTCTTGAGTAACTACATAATCTCCATTAGCAGGATAACAAGGATGTAAAGATCCTGCATTATCTCGCAACTGCCCACCTTCTGTATCTAAGTAATCACCGGCAGGAAGGTGAAGATCAAACGACTTTTTCCGGACCTTTGAAGGCCTAGCCTCCAAAACATCACATGCTTTCGAAGAATAATCATTTTGCATTTGAACTCGACCAGGCTGTACACAATCTCCTTTTGAAGAACTAAAGGGAGAATTAACAATTTCAGTACCAGATGTAGATGGTCTAGTATAGCTAGAATTTTCCAATGGAAAGTTCGCGATGTGCCATTTCCGAACATCCTCAGATGGTACTTGAGATCCTAGGTGAGTGGATGAACATGATGGCTCCATTGATGAACGATATTTATGCATTTCCTTCCTTTTGAAATCGTCCATCATGTCCCTTTGAGTTCTGTAAAGGCGATGAAGTTCCACCACCTACAAGCAAACCATTGCATTAAGTATATTCATAACGCCGTTGACATGAGGCAAAAAAAGGATTACATGGCAGATGAAGATATTTTGAAGCAGGACAGTCCAAGAGACTACGACATTAGGATATGTAGAACCATACCGTACTGAAAACCAAAATTTCCAACTAACTTCTCGAGAAGAAAAGAGAGCAAAAGGGAAGCATTACCTGATTCCTGAATATGGCCTCGTGTTCAATCATTTTCTGCTTTAGAATGTCCTTATCATACCCTGAATATGCGTCAGTTACAGTCCTAGACGTGAAACCATTACAATATTGCCCGTTTGTTAAGGTCTTATCTCCATAACATAGGGGCCAACTGCTGCTGTTAGCATCCTCATTAAGGTCTCTCATAGAGTAATAGCTTGGTAAGAATCCTTTATAGTGCACTTGTGTTCCCATTCCTGCCAAGATGGGCATCAAACAATTTAATTAAAACCAAACAGTTTATTCTGAATACACTTCGAAACTGTTCTTAGAAGATGAGATATTCAGAACCTACGCATATATTTACGAACATATGATCCCAACACATTACAGCAAACACCAACGGCTTTTCAAATTCCTGTAGGCAGCACATCTATTTTGAGAGGACCAACATATCCTCATACGTTTAGCAAAATAAAGGTATCTAATGCAGATAACTCAAATATCTAATTCCAGAAGCATTGAAAGACAATTTTTTATCCAAGAAAAAGGAGAATAACATGATACATGAAAACATACATAGTTATTAAAATAGCGGTGCAATGGCGGAGTTCTATGGGAGCGCCATACAAAGATACTAACAAACTGAAAGTCAAATTTAACAGAATGACTTCAGAAAAAGATGTTCTGTAGCACACAAAGATAATAAATTGAGGGAACTAGCCTAAGACGATTACGTAAACCTCCATCCCGCTGGTTTACAGGTGCAACACCATGATGGTTGAAAATAAATAAAGGACTTGGATCTAAATAACCTAAAGAAAATTGTATCAATAGACATACTATATCTTGAAATGATTGCAGAGTTAGCTAATAAAGTAAACACAACAGGTTCGATAATCGATAGCACGAGTAGAGATTTAAGACTAAGTTGTTGTTACACTTGCATAAAGTTCAGTGTTCCTCAAGAGTCTTTTAGTTATGCGTTGAGACTTGTATGTTCGTGTAGGGGTTAAGTATGAGAATTAGAGATTTTCTAATTTTAGAGAACCCCTAATTTCCTTAAAAGACACATTATTTTTGTCAACTAGAGGATATCTTCATTGACAGGCCCATGGTTATACCCTAAAACAGATATAAGAACATCAGAACTCGTTGAAGAATTTTAGAGGAAAACGGAGAAATGGACTCACAAAATGTAAGATAACTTTCTCTATTTAAAGTCCCCATACATGACAACAACCTTTAGAGATATATCACAATGGAAAATGATAGTTAATGAACTATTCCTTTCTTGATTAATTAGTTAATGTACTTCTGTTGCGTCGAGTTCAAAATGGGACAACTCTTGGATATTGGAGCATGTAGTCTGCATCGAAAGATAAATGTATGTGTTTCTACCAAGTAAATAATTCCCAATAAACCTGCCAAAAATATTCTTAGAAACCTCGCCTTTATGATTTTCAAATTACAAATTGCACAAAAGAAACACAATTGTTGCACGCAAAGGACAAATTGCACAAAAGCAACACAAATATTGCACGCAAGCAGCTCAATTATTGCACGCATTCTGCACGATACTCATTAGCAACAAGGACAAAAAGTCCTAGTTTTTTTATCTCCGAGAGAAAACTTAGAAAATCCAATATATGAGACTTGCACATAGTTTTCCAATTACTCATTGTTAAAGCTATGTTCACACACCAGTTTCAAGACTTAAAACTAATTGCTCCCTATAATAGCATTCAGTAACAAGGAACCAACTGGTCTTGTCCGTCATTAATTTGAACCACAATATAGTGTCCAAGGATACAAGAGGAAACAAACAAGACAACGGACACCGGTCAAGATCGCAATTAGTTTGGAAATTTGTCTCTAAGGAGCACCAAAATCCAAAACTCTCCAATTACGTAATATGTCCTGTAGAAGACTCTTTCGGGGGCTTTTTTAACCAAAAAGGAAATGGAAAAAACTATCCTGCTTCAATTATATTTTCAAAAGCTTAACTCTGATGACTTTTCCTTTACATAAATCAGCAATTAATGTTTTGCTAACATTTCTATGTAATTGGTTGTATAGATAACAAATTAATGACGCCGGATTAGCACATACACGATTATCTCCAGGAGTAGAAGACTATGCACGCAACTTGTGAACGTGCGGACTTCTCTTTTGTACTCTTTCCTAAGCTTAACGTGCGAAAATTCGTGGATACGGAAACATGTAGTCAGCATCGAAAAGATAAACGTGTTTCTACCAAGTAAAACAATCCCAAATATATCTGTTTAAAAATATTCTAAGAAACCTCGCCATCATGATGACAAATTGCACCAAAGCAGCCTAAGTACTGCACACACTCCGCACGAATCATACGAACAACATGTGGAAAACATCCTAACTTTTTTGTCTCCCAGAGCACTTGCAACAACACATAAGACTTTTGTGGACATTTCAATTACTGTTTTGTTAAAGTTGCGTTCACACGCACCGGTTTCAAGACTTCAAATTAATTGCTCCCTATAGCATAGGAAAATGAGAAACCAACTCGTCTTGTCCATCATTAGTTAGAACCACAATGCTGTGGCCAATGACACAAGAGGAAACAAACAAGACAACAGACAGTGATCGAGATTGCAATTAATCTAGAAATTCGTCCGTAAGCATCACAAAAATCCTAATTTCTCCCAGAGCACACTTTCAACAACACACGATAGTTCCATGGACATTTTCAATTACTGTTTTGTTAAAGTTGTGTTCACACGCACCGTTTCAAAACTTAAAAACTAATTGCTCCTTATAACATACAGTATCGAGGAACCAACTTGTCTGGTCTATCATCAACTAAAACCACAATATAATGCACAAGGATACAAGAGGAAGCAAACAAGACAACGGACAATAATCATGATTGCAATTAATCTAGAAATTCACCTCTAAGCAGCACGAAAATCCCCCCAGTCTCTAGTTATCATAATATACTAACAAACACAAACAACCAATCTTGTAATAGCACCTAAATTGGATTATAATAACTAGTATAGGTCAATCTTTTACTCATGCAATTGAAAGTTCAAACCTTTGCCCAAAACAAATCACTTTATAAGCAACAAAGTTCCCATCTTTTTCACTTACTAGAGTAAATGAAGTAGAAAAAAGATCCCAAATAGAGAAGATCAAAAGTAAAATTCAATACACAATAAATACCATAAGAAAATGTATAAACACAATTACCCATAGAATCCAAATTTTGCTAAACAAAGCCAAAAATAAATAAATAAATAAATAGAAATATTCTGTTCTTGGATTTTCAAAGTCAAATAAGAATAAATCTAAAAAAAAAAAAGTAAAATATACAAGAGTTTACCTCAACCCCACATCTTGGAAACACTTTTTCTCAACCCCCTTTAAATGGATTGAACAATGAACAACACTAGCAGCAATTCAACAAATTCAAGAATCATGAAGAATTGAGTGACCCCAAAAATAAGAAGCAGAGGAACAAAAGAGGACAAAGTAATAAATAGTATAATAATAAGTACACCCTTTATCCCAACTAAATATAAAAATATATCATTTTTTTCTAAACACAGTCTAAAATAAAATAAAAAAAATATAAGTCATATAAATTCGAACATAAATAATTAAAAAAAGAACAAAGAGGGTAGTTTGATAATACCATTGAAGAAGCTCAGATCCTCATAAAACTGAAAAAAAAAAAAAGATTGTAGATTTCAATCTGCTGGGGCCACAAGTTCTCAGAAACAAAAAAAACTTTATTTTTTTTTTAGAGAGAGAAGGGAAAATCAAGAAGTAGAGAGAGAAAAAGAGACAGAAGTTGTATGAGACTTCAAAGGTTTGTGTGTTGTGTAATAATAGTACTATATATTTTATTTTATATTTTTGTAAAAATAATAAGAAAGTTAGAGAAAGAGAAATCTCAGATAAGAAAATCTTGACACAAACAAACGAGGCTTCTATAACAACAGTGACATGAAATTTGTCAACATCCGGTCTCTTTTTTATTCCTATGCTTCTTTTTCTCTTTTCTTATTTATATATATTACCGTTAAATCTCTCTATAACATATATATCGACAAATAAATATGTTACATTTGAGTTGAATATGTATGTTTAGGCATTTTGATCAGTTCATTATGTTATTTGAGTACACTCTAGTTAGACACTTACAAATCACAATAATAAAAGTATCTTTTAGCGACAACAAATATATATATTAACAAAAAATGTTAAATTATTTATCTATATTAATTAGTTGACATTAGATTTAATGTCACTAGTGATTTTTGGAACATAGGCAAATAGTGTTAATTGCCGCTAAAAATACATATTTAATATCAATTAAGCTATTACTGTTAATTAATTGTTGTTACTAATGAGTATTAATATAGTGTCAGCATCAGCGCTCACAAGATATCATAAGAACATGTAGAAGTGTTTAGTTAACAAATTGAGGTGTTTAGATATGCAATAGTGAAGTGCTTATTTATCGGTTGAAACCAAGTTTTAGAAAAAGTGAATCATTACTCTTTCCGGTCTGAAGCAAATCTTGATTAAAAAGGTAATTAATTAATTATTCTTATTTTATTATTTTATCTCAAATTATTACTATTCTCTTTTTGATCCGTATTAATCTTTTTTCCATAATGAATAAGGAACAAATTGAAAACTAATAATTAATGATATTTTGATTTTCTAAATAATTATAATTTTAAATGAGTTCGTTTTTTTAACAGTAGGATAAGAAATAAATAAAAGGATATATAAATTAAAATTAAACTTATCATAGAAATGAGTTATTCGAGTAGTAATACTCCTTTTTCTCTATCTTTAATTTTTAATGATTTCCTTATTTTCGTTATAAATAAATAAAATATGTGAATATTTTTAAGGAAATAAAAAAAATGGGTCATTTTCTAGATTCTCTCCACCTTCCTTGCTTTTTAATTTTATAAACACACACTCCCATTTCTCTCTCCCCGCTTTATATTAAAAGCATAATATATAAATATGTCATTAATTTAATTTTTAATATTTAAAAAATTAAAAATAACACAAAAATATTTTGAATCTTTGAGGAAAAGGTGACTGATAGCATCAATAATAATTAAAAAAAGAAAAAAGAAAGTAATATATTGGACACATGTTTTTTCAAGTTTGATTTTTGAGTGCCTTTTTTGTTCAATGGGAATTTAACTATTCCTTATACATTGCAATAGAATATTTCTATAAAGTGTTTTTCTTTTTTAAGTTCTCACCGTTACACGTTACTTGTGGTAGTCGAATTCTGTAAAATAAATATTCTTTTTATGTCTTTCTTCTATCTTTATTATTTATTCTTTCTTAACTTTTATTCGATATGTGGTATTTACATGTAAATTTGAGTAAGAGTTAACACTAATATTAGTTTAAGTTACAGTGAACTTATTTGATGTTCAACTTTTATATTGAAATTTTAATTGATTTAGATTTATATCGTGTAAGACTTGTTCAACAGCAAAAAATCGTCATTTTATTAACTAATAATTGGCATGCTCTTTAATAAGATTTATTTTACTTTTAAAAATTAAATTCGAGATTTTTGATAGACTATAGATAATGGTATGTATTATTTTGTAACTTTGTAAGAATTGAATGGATTTAATACAAGTTACTGTTTTAATATTGTACATAATTATTAATACTTAGAATTTATAGGATATTTTGCATTTAAAATTTTGTACGTTACACTTACTTAAAATTATGAACTTTCTAATTATGCATCTATGTTGTAATTATGTGCTAGTTAACTCTAGTTTAATTGCTAGAACAAATTTAATGTTGTAATTTATGTTATAAATTTAAGGCTTACTCAAACATGTTATAAGAAAATTGCTAAACAATAGTTTCTTTTGAGTTTTTTATTTGGTGTACGATATCTTTTTGGATTGGATTGATATATATGTTAATGTTATATAAGGCTTATTGATGTATAAAATTACTTTATATCATGAATTTATTTTAAAGTTGAATATAAGATTTTTTAGGCTTGTCGATGTTTCATACTTTATAAGCTTCGACTAATCCAAACATACACTCATATGGCCCCATTAAAATAGGGTCCAAATTACTCCCTTATTAAAAAAAATTTTGATTCAAGCTTACCATTATTAATTAAGCTTCACCTAACTCGTAAATAATATAAACAGCCAACTTGATTAATCTTCCAAGCTAGTTAATAATCAAAATTTTAGGCCAAATACATAAATATATCTCTAAATTTGTTGGTTTTTCCTCTTAGATATTTCAATTATGTTATTTTCCTATTGAATCATTAAACTATCCATAATTTATTTCTTTAAACACCACTGGCTGATGCGGAACCATATTTTACAAGAGGTATTAACAGAGGATAAATATGTTCATCCAGAACTCATTACTCCAATTGATGGTGCAAAATGTTCGAAAATAATTGTGTTTTACTTCAAGTTATTTGAACACATTAGGAAACAAACGAGACTACACACAGTTTGTCTTTATTTCTTCAATCAAAATCATTACAGTACAAACACAATTAGAAGGCATTTACAATAGAAAAATCGATCAAAATCAACCAATGGTGTTTAAAAGGAACAAATTATGGGTGGTTCAATGATTCAATAAGGAAAATGACGTAGTTGAGGTACCTAAAAGAAAAACCCGATAAGTTTAGGGATCTATTTATGAGTTCTTTTTAAATTACTCCCTCTATTTAAATTTATGTGACTTATTTTTTTTTTATAATTCAAAAAAGAATAATACATTTTTATATTAGGTAATAATATAATTTTAAATTGCATATTTTATTCTTAATGAAATAACTTATAGTCACACAAATTTCTATCATTTATCTTTAATCACAAATTTTAAAATTTTTTATTTTTTAAATTTTTTTATATAAAATCAAACTATCTCATATAAAATAGGACGTCGAGTAATAATTATAAGATATATGTTAATGAGGCTTAATTTTTTTTATTTTTTGCCATTTTAAGTGATGTTTCAATTATCTAGATAGATCACTTAATTCAGTATTGCAACAGAGTACTAAGAAAATCAGACAAAAATGGGACCCACTAAATTATGAGTTTTAAATAGGAATATTTTTATTTTTTATTTCTTCTAGGACTTGGTGATTTTTGCTAAAAAAGCCCTCGGAATTTAGGTTTATTTACCAAAAAAAGGGGAATTTTTATTTTTATTTTGTGCTTCTGATTTTGTCTGATTGGTGGATACAGTACTGTACTGTTAAATAAAAAAATAGAAAGAAGTACCGTACAAAATACCATTTAGATTTTTAAAGTACCAACATGGTATTTTTGTTGCATCAAAAGGACTTAAAAAAAATAACAAAAGGGCTTTTTGATAAAATAAAAATAAACATAAGTTTTAAGAATTATTTGACATAAAATAATTTGATGAAATAAAAGTTGTAATAACACCAATGGAAACACTTATTTCAACGCTGCAGAAAATTAGGGTGAAATAAATAATTTTTTTATTTTGAGTCAAAAAATTTGAATTTAAGTTCATAGTTTGAGGTTGTTATTTTGTCGAGTAAAATTTAAATTTCAACTTTTTCAGTTTGATAAGTTTAAAATCACAAATTAAATGATATTATGATGTTGAACTTTTGGGATGAATCAGAGGAATTAATGACTGAATCTTAGTAAATTGTAATAATAATGTCACTCAATCACTTATAATATTTCGTTTATGACGATTTAAGACGTGAATTTTTTATTTATCATTCGATTGAAATTGTACTTTAAAGTGATCCACACGACTCTTCTATACCGCGATTCTCTTAGGGGAAATCATAAGATTCAAATTTTTTTCCTTAAATTCTGATCAAATTAAAATCAGAAAATCAAATTAAACGGAGGGAGCAACAATTTTGTATGTTTTAGTTTTTAAATTAATAGTGCTATTATAAATTTCAATTTTAAAATATAAAGATATTTTATGATAAAATTTATCTGTATCGAATGTTTATTTCAAATAATAGACTTAATGTAAACACTGGTGGAGTTAAATTTTTAATTGACGTTGAGCTATTTACCAACATAAACTTTTGTGTTTTTTTGGACATGTGGTATAGAATATGCAACATGGATTTAGTAAGAATATATTTTATCACTCTATAATTTCAATTAAATAATATTGTAAATTAATTATCTTGAACTTTATTTTAATGAAATCCTAATTAGTTGTGGATTACATTGAAGAGTTAATTTACTTAGCTAAAACAGACCATCAGCCTTAACTTTTTTTTTTTTATAAAGTCAAGTTGAGAATCGAATTAGTGTGCGTTGGCTTTTACTATAATTGAATATTTAAAATTCTTACTTGATCTCATTATAATAATGATTATTTTATTAATTTTTTATTTACTCTTTGTTTAGTTGGTGTTTATTAAAGTTTTCTCTAAATTACTAAAATCTTAGATGGTGACTTTTGACCTAAACTAAAAGATGAAGATTAAATAATTAGAGTGGTTGAATATTTTAAATCAAATTTGTACAATTTTTTTCAAAACCCCTCAAACAGTTAAGAGCAACTCTATACTATATTTATCAAGTTTCGATCCACGTGCCCATCACTAAGATAATATTCATGGGATAATATGAAATATTTATTTCGTGTTACTCGTATTATTCGAATTATATATTAATGTATCAGAGCTATATATTATATATTCGATTTATTTTATAATGCATTTTAACTAACTTTTAATTTATAAGAGCTACATATTATGTGCCCAGGTTATGTTATAATGTATTCAGATACATTCTAATGTATCCGAGCTACATATTAATGT